GGGTATCAGATGTATTTGGGGTACATCTGAAATTTAGGGAAAAGTGTGTGCTGCTTAATTGGGTTAACAGATAAGTTAGTGGGAGGAGATGTGTGGGTTGTACCTTCAACTGTATTGGTGTACGGTTTTTATCCTCTTGTGAGCAAAACGGTCCGTTACACTTCCTCTACATTATGCTAATCAGCGGTCAGATCAGTGGTGTGTTTAGGATTTGGGCTGCCCTAGGCAGGACGGTGCTCAGACACCCCCAACTCCCAATAAAATTTTCCCCACCCCTTCTTGTCAAGGCCGCACTTTGACAGACGCTCACTCACTGACAGACGCATACACTCATTGACAGACACACACTCTCATATACACTGACAATGACATACACACACACACTATTACTTGAACACACACTGACATACTCACTCACTCACTGACAGACACATACACACTCACATTCACTCACAGACACACACAGTCACTCACATACACAATGACACATACATACACAATCACTGACATACACACTGACGGACATACATACACAATCGCTCACATACACGGTACACTGACAGCCAAACACAATCACTCACATACACACTGACAGACATACATGCACAATCACTTACATACACACTGACAGCCAGACACACACACAATCACTCACATACAACATGACAGACACACACACACACTGACAGCCCCCCTCACCTCCCCAAACATTAACCGATTAAGCCCCTACCTTTGGGAGTGCTGGGTGGATTTTTTTTACCTGGGGTCTAGTAGGGCTTTTCACAGGAAGGGAGGCAGGCATGCAGGTGGTTGTCTGGCTAAAAATCCGGTCGGGCGGGCGGCGTTGGCGAGGGAGCACTGATTAGTGAGCTCTCTGCTCAGCTCCCTTGTGCACCGCAGAGTGATGCCGGGAGCCGGAATATGATGTCCCGGCATCACTCTGCGGCACGCGGAGGAGCTGAGCAGAGAGCTCAGGGGAAAGTTCTCCCTCGCCAGCGCCGCCCCACCGGATTTTTTAGCCGGACAACCGCCTGCCTGGACTGTTAGCCACTAGGATACCAAGGCATTTGCCCAGGCATTTGGGGGCGGCGTTTTTTGCCGCCCCCTGGAAATTGCCGCCCAAGGCAAATGCCTTGTTTGCCTCGTGGCTAATACGTCCCTGGGTCAGATACCACACTTTATGCCCCAACAAGTGCTAATGAGATTGGTCTTGATTACACATGCTGTAACCTATTGTATTACTTTAATGAGCTTAACAGGACTAGTTGTAACTATGTAATCTGCAAAACTATAATGTGTGTTGTCTGATACTGCATAACCTGAAACAATAAAACTTTATTGAATACATATTTTTGTGCCTCCCCCCCTGCTGTTATTCACTAAGATTACAAAGTTCTAAGGGGATAGAATATTATGGGAGCAGAGTGACACAGGACTACATGGAGGGTACATTAGGGGGACATGGTGACTAAAGGCCAGGGGGACAGTATGGCAGTGACACGGGGCTAGGGGAACAGAGTGACTAAGGGCTAGGAGGATTTATTTAATTATTTAAAATGTTCCTCTCCTCACCCTAACCTTCCGAGTTTGCATCCTGCTGTGCTCATGTGGCTGACAGTGCTGCCATACAGTTCAGTCAGACTGCTGGGACACCTGGTGAATCTAGTAGGAAGATGGAGCAAGTCGCTGTAGTGGTACTTACCTTGGACATGCCAAGCAGCCCTCCATCTGCCGCGTGGCTCGACTGCTCCATGGAACCGGAGATAAATAAACATACTTCCCTTTCTGCGCTGCAAATCACTACCCTGCATTCGTCGGCTTCCAGCCCAGACCTCGGCTTCATATTGAACTTGTGATTTTCTGGTATCCTGACCTGGCTTTGACTTGACTCTGTATTTCTGTATTCCTGACTTTTTTTTTCTATTTTTTATTAATACATTAAGTCCAGCCACTCTAAGGCTCCTTAATACATTTTTTGGATCCACTTTTTCCAGCGTGTTGGGGTACGACTCCTGTGACAGTCGCTCCCTTCTAGCACCATCAGAGGGGTTGACAAAACCCACCAACATGTTGGAGCAGAGACCAGAGAATGGAAGCAGAGGGAGCAGCAGGCATTTTAAAAATTCAAGTTGCAGGCCTGCTGCCAGGTATTTAAATGTTTGCACTCTCTTCTGCAGTGGCACCCTAAGGAAGCACCAGCCCTAGTGATTACATATAAATTGAGATCCCAATTCATTAAGAACCCAAAAGACATATCAAGTATTAAAAAAAAAACATCACGGACCCCCAATTGCGATAGGGTATGTTGTTATGTTCTGCTTCTTCATAACAATTTGTATTAAGGATTGGGGCAGGGACAGGCATAACACATGCTCCCAGCCTGTCACTGCCCACTACCTTTGATATGGTGTGCCATCTTGTAATTGGGGGTCGAGCTACAGGCTGCTAGGAACTTGGCATCTAAAACACTAAACATTAAACTGACCTGGCACCAGCAGACTCCAAGTGGATATGGTGCTCAAAATGTCTATTTAAACCTCTCATACTTTTTTGTCCCCACAACTGAATTGCATTGTATCTAGTTCCATGTTTTGTTTTTAATGAGAGGTTGGGGACATTTGCTCGCCTCTCCCTCTACTCCCTAACCCTTTCACTCTGTCCCTATAATGCTGTCACCCTAACCCTCTGTCCCCCAGTTCTTTGTCACACTGCACCTTTGTGTCACTTTGTCCCCTATCCCTGTGATACTCTGTTCCTCTAGCACTATGTCACTTTTTCCCTACCCTTTGTCACTCTGTCCCCTAATCCCCTCTCACTCTTTAACTGAGCCTTGTGTAAGTCTTAGCCTCTAATCCCCGGACCCTACTAACACTGTGTCACTCTTTCTACCTAATATCTGACAGAGACACAGGACTAAGGAGACAAAAGAACAGGACATACTATTTTTACCCCCCCAGATCACTAGCGACATAGTTGCCCAAACTCTAGCGCATTTAAACCCTCAAATGCTGCACAGTGGGGGAGGATTAAGAGGAAAATAGTGAGAGCTTCCACTTATTTCCACTCTATTAACTGTATCCCACTGCTCACTGTTGAGGTTATCAGGGCTGTCTTTAATATTGATTGGTCCCTGGGCAAGCTTGGGCCCCCCGGATCACACCCTCCACCCCAACCCAGTGGCGGAACTAATGTAGAGCATGCCCTGGTGCAAGAAATGTGGGCCTCCCTCTAGCGTAAGAATGGAGAAAAGATAGATCCCCATCTGTCATGCAACTCCCATGTTGCTATGCCACCTGGAGTTCTACCATTTTGTGAACAGTGTTTGTGCATTTGAAAGTAAGCATGTTATTGTATAGAATGTGTATGTGCATGCAGAGTTGTATTTGTATGTATTGTTGCCATTGGAATGCAGTGGTGTACTTGCGTGTAGTGCTTGCAATTAAATACAGCGGTGTGCTTGTATGTTTAGGATTTTACACATTAACATGCAGATACACACATATACATAAACACACTGACACATATTCACATCTGAACACATGCACACACCTTTACACATGCACACATACTGGCATATAAACACACACTCAGATATGCACACTTTTACACAGTTACACTTTGATGTGCACACACACAGACATACACACACTAACACATCCACACACTGACACATATATGTACACACACTCAGACTCACAGGCACACATACACAGAAGTACACATGCAGGGGTGTATTTCTGTACAGTGCTAGCGTTGGAATGTAGGCGTGTATTTATGTGCAGTGTTGGCATTGGAATGCTGGGATGTATGCATTGCCACATATGCAAATATGCACACACTGAAAATTATTGACACACACACAGGTACACAGACATGCAGGTACAAACATACGTGTATACATACACACTGACAAACAAATACACATGACGGTTACACAAACACACAGGTGCACATAAACACTGACACACACACACACACAGCCAAATACACACACTGACACAAACAGCCAGATATACAAACATTTCACACACACAACCAGATACACACACACACATATAAATATCAATTTACATATTTTAATCTCTGCCCTCTAGCATCCCCTGGACAGCAACTCCCAGAAACCTTGGCCAATATAATGTCTCAACTCTGTCCTTACCCTGGTAGAGAATTTCGCAAAAGTGACATTTGGAAATGGTGTGCAGCCTTTGACAACACTTTCTGCAATAATATTAATACTGTAACTTTCTAGGATTTTTAACATGTAGTTATCCCCTATAAGTAACAGATGTGTGTTTGTAATGTCTGATTAATAAAAGTGAAATTATAAATAATATAAAATAAATAAAATGTGTACATATTTTAGCCACCCTTCTGTCTCCTTACCTTTTGGTCCTAACACTGACCCTTCAGCCTGCTTCCTTGAGCTTCTGGCAAAGATATCTCTAATGAGACAGAGAGGGGTATTTTCTATATACACCCCTATATACTTATTAACCCTTAATAGGGAACACATGGGATGGGCGGCAGCATTGTAACCAGGCTGTGTGATACAAAGTAAATACAAATACAAAAAGAGAAGTCCTGCGCTCACTCCCATCACTACTGGGCCGGCAGCAATGACTACAGTACACATCAGCCCAATATATAGTAAAAACCAAAGAAAAACAAGTTACCTGCGCTCTCTCCTTAATCGCTATGTATATTTAGACAAATGGAGGCCCAGTAGTAATGGGAGTGATTGCAGGACTTCTCTTTTTGTATTTGTATTTACTTTGTATCACACAGCCTGGTTACAATGCTGCCGCCCACCCCATGTGTTCCCTATTAAGGGTTAATAAGTATATAGGGGTGTATATAGAAAATACCCCTCTCTGTCTCATTAGAGATATCTTTGCCAGAAGCTCAAGGAAGCAGGCTGAATGGTCAGTGTAAACACTTCAATTGTATATAAAACTGTGGTGATATGGAATCAATATTTTATAGCGATCTCTTTCTTATAGGGAGAAGCAGGTTGTGGGGATCAGCTCCCTGGCCCCCGAGTATCATCTAAAATGGCTCATGGACCTGCTCCAGTCAGATCCTTTTCAGGAGATAGTAGATGTCAGATACCTTCTAATGACAGAGAAAAGGGCTGGTTGGAAGAGAGAAGCTGATGATTGCACTGTGGGAATTCTGTATCACACAATGAAATGTGGACGATTTGAAATCTCAAAATATGAAGAGGAACTAAAATATCTTTCTAAAAAGCTTGGTGAGGTTAAATGGAAAATCCAACCTTTTTAATGTTATTTTATTGTTTCGCTCATACATTGTACAATCAGATTTATAATTCTTTAATCAATATTATATATACTTTATATTTCAGACAAAGCAAGTATTTTACACATCACAATACTGATCAATAACAATCCATTTGTTTCCATGGTAACTGCCAAACATTTAGCATGTCAATACAAAATATTGTATTTTTATTTCCAAAATAATAATGTGCAGGTAAAGATTGAAAACATCAATAAAAATAGGGTTATATTAGCAAGTGAAGCACTGTGGGAATATGTCCTATTAATAAGCTCTTAATATAACTTCCCATGTATTCAGCCTTATTCTTTCAGATCCTGGCTCTGCAGTAGATACTAATTTACTGCTTTTTGGGTTTCACAGGTAAGGAGAGAGTTATGGTTGTGATAGATGATGTGGAGAAAGGTGATGATAATGAAACAAAGAAATTTATTGATAACAACCAAGGCATCCTGTCCCTGTCCACTCACTTCCTCCTCATTCCTTTAAACAACAAGGAAAAAGCTGCTCGTGATAAACTGGACCAGATCTGCAAGGATCTTAGAAGAGGTAACTCGTTACGTTAAAATTAGGTGTTTGGAGTTTGCTGCCTGTAGTTTGAAAAACCTAAAAACATAACGATAACAGTATTTATCATGATATTTGGGGTTAGGCATCCCTCAATGGAATTACAAGGTTTAGTTCAGCATTATATGCAGTGGCGGAATGAACGTAGAGAGGGCATTGGTGCGAGAATTTTTTGGGGCCCCTGAAGACAAACGCCAATAAGGTGGCTCTAAGTGCATGGGCACCATCAGGGCCGGCATTAGGCACCCTATGCAAATATTTTTCACAGCGGCCTAACCCGCTTATCCATGTATCGTGCAGGTAGTGTTTGTGTAAGGGTATTTAATTCAGATTTTTAAAAATGCATGTAGGCCCATGTGTGAATTCTAGTGTGTATAGTGTGTATTTTTACAGTGTCACATGCACACAGTCCCACAGTCATACAGTCTGATGCACACAATTTTACACATCCTGACAAATAAAGCCACATTCACATAGTTCCAGCCACATAGCCACTCGCATGCAGGGCCGGCTTTAGGCCCTCTGTGCGAAAAATCTTGACCGCGCCCCCCCATCTTCATCCATGTATAGTGTGTCTGTGTGTGTATAGGGGTGTAGTGTTTGTATAGGCAACAGTCATACACACAGTTAGTAATACACACACATATACAATCACACACACACACACACAGGCAGACCAATACAAACAATTACAGTCACATACACAGGCAGACACACACACATTTACAGTCATACACAGTTACAGACACACACACACCGTTACAGTGTTAGCGTATATCTGTGCAGTTTTGGCATTGGAATGCTGGGATGAATGCATTGCCACACGTGTGTGTGTGTGTGTGTGTGTATATATATATATATGAAAAAGAAAATAGTGGTAAACCGCGCCAAAAGAAAAAGTGATCAAATAATCATATTTATACATACATTTTGTTCTTGAATTTTACAACATTTGAAAACCTCAAAAGGAAAGAACAATAAACAATAATAGTGCAGTATGTTAAAAATATTATAATAGTGTATAAATAAAATAGACTGTGAGTGAAGAGCAAACTCACACTTTACCGAGCTGCTAGGAGCTCTGCCGTATAGCGCCTGGACGGTACAATCCCCGTCTTAGGATCTGAATATACCGGGAAGTCCAAATTCAGAGGTCATATATATGTGGAGAAAACAAAATATACAGACCAATGGTAGAGTATCATAAGCTAGAAATAATATAGGAAAATGTAGGTATCCTACTTACAGTATCCAGAGCAATGACTTGCTCTGGTGATGTCAGCTTGTGGTGGTATAATCCCCACCAAAGGATATAGCAGGAAAACAGCAGCACCAGAAGATATGCAGAAGCCAAGGGATTTGGAAAAAAAGGCAATCAATTTATTAATAAAAAATATATTAAAATATATATAGATAAAAGTGTGTATAAAACATCTACTACAATTTCAAATCTTATCCTTGACGCGTTTCGCCCGGTATTGGGCTTTTTCAAAAGAGAAGATGTCCTTGGCATTCCGCCCGGTTTATATAGGGAGTGTTGATTCTTCAATGGTGATCTGGTGTGATGCTGTTCTTCCTATTTCCTGTTTGGTCGCGGGCGTCGACCGGAAATGACGCGCCGCGACCATTAGTGTATGCTGGGAAATGTAGTCCATCTAAAACATCCATACTAAGAATGCGGTTTAGATCGCGGCCGTCAACTGGAAGTGACGTGTCGCGAGTGCCGATGTATGATGGGAGATGTAGTTTCTCCAAGTGTCCATTTAATATAATCACAGCTGTCAGCTGGAAACCGGAAGTGACATGCCGTGGATGGTAGCTGGGATATGTAGTCTCTTAAAGTATATTACAATACATAGCTTCAATATATAAATACAATATAATCCATTCATATTATCTGTGAAGCATGCACAACATAACATGTAGTGATTAATGTAAGAAAACACATTCCAGTAATATATTTATATCCCTTATTAGGAAAAACATAGCCTGTAATGGTTAATCCAATTCCAGTGGTATAGTTAGGTTATAGGCGTACTTAATATAATCTAAAAGGATAGAAATATACTTTAGGAAAATAAAAAGAATAATCTTGGTTATTAAAGGTACCAAATATGATATATACTCAGGGATATTATTTTATCACGATATATAGACAAAGGAACAACCATTATAGGGAATGATCCTAACTTTGAGGTAAGAATGACAAAAAGAGAGGAAAAAAAAAATGACTTCCAAAAAAAGGGGGAAGAATAACGGTAATCACTTTTGGCACTAAAAAAATAGAATGTAAAATGTGGTTAAAAGTGTACATATATATATATATATATATATATATATACATACTAGCGTATACATACATTAAAAAACCTATGCGTGAAATAAAAAAAAATAAAAAAAAATTATTATAAAAAGTTAAAAAGGTCGAATTCAGCATTTAGTCCTTTCGGGTGTAGGGTATCCAAATAATACACCCACTCCATTTCTTTTTTGCCCAATCTTTTGATCATATCTCCACCTCTCCAATATTGGGGCATCTTAGTGATACCCATAAATTTTAACTCACGAGGGTCATTCTTGTGCATTTCGAAATGGGATGATACTAGGTGATTTTTAAAATCTTTCTCTATATTTCTACAATGTTCCCCTATTCGGGTTTTCAGAGGTCTTATAGTTCTTCCTATATACTGTAAGCCACATGGGCACTCTAAGAGGTATATAACATTTTTGCTCATACAAGTAATAGTGTCTTTAATTTGATAGATTTTTTTGGTGTTATTGGATTTAAAGTTTGAGGTATGTCTATCTATCTTTTTAGTTTTTTTTACATGCTATACAGCAGTTGCATCTATAAAACCCATTTTTGGTTTGTAGAAAGTTATTAAGGGCATTGGAGCTTTTCTCCTGTCTTGTGAAATTTTTTGTGAGTTGCATTTTTAAGTTAGGTGCCCCTCTAAATATTACTTTTGGCTTATCTGGAATAATAGTACCTAGTATAGCATCCTCTTTTAGTAGGTGCCAGTTTTTGTTAATAATCTTTTTCATTTGTCTATTTTTGTTGTTATAATCTAGGACTATTGGTAATGTGAACTCTTTATCCGTATATCCTGTTTTATTTAGAGTATTGCTTTTAATTAGATATTCCCTATCAATATTAGTTATCCTCTCTATAGTTTCTTCTACCTTTTCCTTATCATATCCCTTCTCAATAAATTTTTCTTTTATTTCCTTCGCCTGGATTTTAAAGATTTCTTTGTCTGAGCAGTTCCTTTTTAATCTTTAAAGTTGACTTTTAGGAATACTGTTTAGCCAGCTTTTATGATGGCAACTATCTGTCTCAATGAAATTGTTGACATGAACCTCTTTAAAGTGCGTTTTAGTGCATAATGTATTATTATTAATATAGATATCCAAGTCTAAAAAAGTGACATTAGTTTGGCTAAAATCAGCTTTTAAAATAATGCCATTATCATTGTTATTTAAAAACTCTATAAATAGTTTGGCAGATTGTAGTGAACCATTCCATATAAACAGAAGGTGGTTATTTTATCAGCAGAATTATATGAAAAAGAGGCCTATAGACAACTTAATGATGCTATAACATACACGAAACTGCCCAGAGATCCTACACCAGATATCAAAATCTTATTAGAAAATTTTTTAATTGAAGGAAAAAATAAAAAGATTCTAAATACAGATGAATATAATTATTTAAACAAAAAGTTCCCTAGGATACCAGTTATTTATTTTCTGCCTAAGATACATAAGGATATTAGAGAACCACCTGGGTGACCAATAGTATCCGGCATTGATTCAATCCTGTTGAATTTATCCGAATACATAGATATAATGCTACAGCCGTATGTGAAGAAGTCACAATCTTATTTAAAAGATACCATAGACCTTCTTAAGAAATTAGAAAATATCAGCTGGGACGACCAATATGTATTAATAACGTGTGATGTCCAATCCTTATACACTATAATACAGCATGAAAAAGGATGTGAAAAAAATCTTAGAAAGCGATAATGCTATGAAAGCAGAACAGATTAACTTCATAGTCAAAGGCATTTATTTAATACTTAATAACAACTATTTTTGGTTCAAAGATTCTTTTTATTTGCAGAAGAACGGTACAGCTATGAGGACCAGGTTCGAACCCAGCTATGCCAATCTCTTCATGACTGAATGGGAAGATAGAACAGTGTGGAGGGGGCATGGCTGGGTGGAGAACCTGGTTGCCTATTTTCGTTATATAGACGACCTTCTGTTTATATGGAAGGGTTCACTACAATCTGCCAAACTATTTATAGAGTTTTTAAATAACAATGATAATGGCATTATTTTAAAAGCTGATTTTAGCCAAACTAATGTCACTATTTTAGACTTGGATATCTATATTAATAATAATACATTATGCACTAAAACGCACTTTAAAGAGGTTCATGTCAACAATTTCATTGAGACAGATAGTTGCCATCATAAAAGCTGGCTAAACAGTATTCCTAAAAGTCAACTTTCAAGATTAAAAAGGAACTGCTCAGACAAAGAAATCTTTAAAATCTAGGCGAAGGAAATAAAAGAAAAATTTATTGAGAAGGGATATGATAAGGAAAAGATAGAAGAAACTATAGAGAGGATAACTAATATTGATAGGGAATCTCTAATTAAAAGCAATACTCTAAATAAAACAGGATATACGGATAAAGAGTTCACATTACCAATAGTCCTAGATTATAACAACAAAAATAGACAAATGAAAACGATTATTAACAAAAACTGGCACCTACTAAAAGAGGATGCTATACTAGGTACTATTATTCCAGATAAGCCAAAAGTAATATTTAGAGGGGCACCTAACTTAAAAATGCAACTCACAAAAAATTTCACAAGACAGGAGAAAAGCTCCAATGCCCTTAATAACTTTCTACAAACCAAAAATGGGTTTTATAGATGCAACTGCTGTATAGCATGTAAAAAAAACTAAAAAGATAGATAG